AAAAAAAAAAAAAGTTTGTGTGTGAATTTGTGCGTCTGTGTGTGTGAATGTGTGTGTGTGTGTGTGTGTGTGAAGGGTCCTTTTTTTTTTTCGGGGGGTGGGGGAATCCCCCTAACACGGCTCAAACGGCCCATGCAGGTTATGTGAAGGGTCCTCACAGCCATGTAGCGCAGACCCCCCCACCAAAATCAAGGCAGGCAGTGAATATGAAGTAGAGCACGAGCTGGCCAAATATGTACTCAAGATTGGAATTCAAGTATGTGTTTCAGCAGTTATGGGTTGCTCACGTAGCTAGGCCGTGTTGGTCTCTGCACGTGATTCTCCGGGCCTGTCTGCACTACTCACCAAATGTGCAAAACTAGAATGAATCTTCTGCAGAACATGGAATAATACGCCGGTATATGTTTTGTCTTTTGTGCATGTGGTGATCAGAGGCCCTTAGGGCCACTGCACGTATTCCCTAAGAAAATAAAAATGAGAAAAAATTCTCGTTTTTCTTTTTTCTTGTTTTTTTGTTTTCTCATTTTTCTTTTTCTCGTTTTTTCTTTTTTTCTCGTTTTTGTTTTCTTAGGAATACGTGCCGTGGCCCTAAGGACCTCCACTCACCACATGCACAAAAGACAAAACATATGTCGGCGTATTATTCCATGTTCTGCAGAAGATTCATTTTAGTTTTGCAAATTTCGTGAGTAGTGTTACATGCACAGATACGTGATGTACGTAATAACCGAGAATCTGCAATGTGATGAAAAGGACCGAATGGACAATGCGGTGCGAATAGAATCTCAACAAGCAATTTGCATTCTCATACATACATAATGGTGCTGAATAGCGCAGGGAAGACTTAAATACAAAGACTGACCTGACTGGGACTGACCTCATTCACGTAGTACAAATTAGCGAAGCAGAATGCTAGAATGCTAATAACTAGTCCAATCAATGTTTGCACTCAGACCAAACATACATCGTATTCATCACCAGGTGTGAAGGAGCCTGGCGCTGTACACAGGAAGAAAGCGCCAGGTCTAGACATACATAGACGAAGAGGAAGGGATCATACGAAAGGAGGGAGAGAGATGGGAATGTCGTCAACACCAAGTCTTTGTCACCAATCCCAAATAATCCCTCGTTGCCATGTCTGAAGTCCCCAAAAGTCGAGTCTGGATCCGATGTCACCAAGCTCTGTCTCTCTTCTCTCGTAGTCTGCAGATGCATTGAAGTCAGATGTTGAGAGGGGGAGAAGGAGATGGTGGACTGAGAAGAGGAAGAAGAAGAACTCTCTCTCTCAATGTTACGAGCCAGATATTGACCTGTGATATTGGCGTTGTGCTGCAGGTACCTCGAAGACGAAGCTGGAGCAACTGCGTTGCAGGTAAGTACATCTGGCCTCCGCCCAATCTCTCTCTCTCTCTCTCTCTCTCTAGTACTATCTAGCTATGGCGTCCAGCGCTGGAGACTACAGCTACCTACTGCGCCCAGCGCTGAAGACTACAAGATAACGCTACTACTACTCTACAGCGCTCCCTCCAGAGTGCTGCTCCCGAATCCTGAAGACTACAACTGCCGACTGCCTACCCGTGAAGTGCATGGGAAGTCCCTATGTACTACCTCGGCCTGCCCCTTGACTGTTGAAGGGCGAGCCAGGCCGAGGAGGCAGCTCTTGCCAATGCCGAAGTGTGCCAGGGGCTCGCGTGCAGCAGCCTGCTGAGGCTGGCGTGGGGAACAGGCTAAGAATAGCCTGTTCTGAAACCCTGGTTCGGTGCCTGAGTTTTAGGGCCGGTCGTTCTGATGAACGACTGAAAATGGCCCTTCGTTTCAGGCTAAAAAGGCTGTTGCCATTTTTAGTCTGAAACGACATAGGGGCTGTGGCCCTAGAATTCAGGCTTTCGGCCTGATCTGACATGGGGCCTGTAAGCCCTAGATTTCTGGCTTTCGGCCTGAAATTCAGGCTTTTGGCATGAAGGACGCAGGGCCTGAAAAATGGCCCGCGTGTGCACGCGCAGCATGTAACCCCCCCCCCTCCTTATGAAGTCAAGCTGGGCAAGGGCGGAGCCGACGATCTGAAGGTGGAACCTGGACGCGGGCGAGGCGTGGAGCCGAAAAAACCGGCTTGCCTTGCATCTTGCGTTCGTAGTGTGCGAGAACGTTTGGAGCTGTTGCTTGAAGTTCTGCATGGGTTAACCAACGGTTAGCTCGGTGKGTGCAGTATGCAAAATGCACCAAATACTCAGTTGGCTTGTTGTCGTAGCGTCGCTGGGAGATGATGTCGCTGACCTCCTAAAAACCGTCCATAGAAGGTGGGTCTTGCATACGTCTCCCGGGAAAATCGTCATGTTCCGCTGGCGTGTAAAGAGCCAATTTGGCGCAATGAAAGACTGGGTAGACGGGCAAGTGGCCAAGGAAGGTCCTTCGGGTGCGTCCCCAGCGGGAACTACGATCGGCCAAGGCCCCATCCATTTCGGAAGGAGCTTGCGAGAGATGTCTTGTTCAAGGCTGAATTCCGCTGTGGAAACCCAGACGAGGTCACCGACGCAGAATGGACAAGGAAGACGCTGGCGATTGTCCTGCTGGCTCATGCGCTGCTGCGTCTTAGCCACGTGGTCGCGTGCCTTGACAAGAAGCTCTTGCATCCGACGCAAGAAAAGAAGATGGTCGTCGCTCTCAGCCGTGCGTGGAGTAATAGTGTCCAACGATGAAGTGACCGGCGAGCCGTGCTCGAACTCGAAAGGCGATATCCCAATAGCCGGGTGGATGGAAGAGTTGTAGGCCAACTCGACGTCCGACAGCCGCTCAACCCAATCCTTTTGGTCGGGGCGGATGAGAGTGCGAAGGAGAACTTGTGCGGTCTGATGAGCCCTCTTTGTCTGGCCACCGGTCTGAGGGTGGCGAGCTGAACTGTGCTTGAGAGATGAGCCCCATCGCTTGATAATCGCCAACCAAAAATCGGACATGAACCGAGTGTCGCGGTCGCAGACGATCTCCTTGGGGTAACCCTTGGTTCGAATCCAACCGGCGTAAAGAACCTCGGCCAATTCCGGTGCCTTGGCATGATACCGACAAGGCAAAAACATGGCGAACTTGGTGAGTCGGACGACCACCGTGAAAATCCCATCCACTCCGGTCTTGTGCTTGCGGAACGGCCCGGTAATGTTCATGGCAATCGCTTCCCTTCGCCTCAACGGGACTGGCAATGGTCGTAACTCGCCGTACGGACGATGGTTGCGGGATTTGCAGCATCGGCAAACCTCGCATGACTCGCAATAGCGCGTGACGTCGCCGAGAAGGCCGGGCCACCAAAATCGTTGGCGAAGTCGGCCAATCGTGCGATTGACTCCAAAGTGTCCGGTGGCGGGAGCATCGTGGAACTCGCCAAGAAGCCGTGTATGCAAGTGAGGATCACTCGGTACGCAAAGAAGGTCCTTCCCCCGCGTGTGGACAAGCAAGTACCTCTCTTGGATCTGGTAGTGAAAAGGAGTTGGATTAGGAGAGGAGCAATTTGCGTACTTGTCGCGAAACTCGGGGTCGGCTTGGTAGCCGCGGATGAAGTTGTTCCGCAGGTCATCGTCGATCTCGAAGGTTGAGTAGACCGTGGTACAATGATCCGGATGCCGTGAAAGAGCATCCGCAAAACGGTTCGACTTCCCGTGAATGTAATCGGGAAAGATGTCGAACTGGTCGATGAAAGTCATCCATCGAGCGATGGTGCTGTTGACGGTGTCTTGGGTCTTGTAGAAGACCAGCGGATTGTTATCCGTTACCCAGCAAAATTGGCTTTGACCAAGGAGGAAGTGCCACCACCGCTTGAGCGCGTGGACGAAGGCGAGGAGCTCCTTCTTGCGTGCATCGTCAATGGAATGCACGATGGGCACTTTCTTGCTGAAGTACTCGACCGGGTGCCAGTCCACACCATCATGTTCTGCACCAATGCCATAGCCTGATGCATCCGTAGTGACGCGCGTAGGCAAGAGCGGGTCGTATATCCGCAAGATCTCCGCAGACAATAGCGCGGTTTTGAGAGCGAAGAATTATCCTCGCGCCTCCTCTCCGAAGTCAAACGGCCGATCCTTGCATTGAAGCTTGTTCAAGTGGGCCGCGATCTTCGAGTAGCCTTTGATGAAGCGCTGATAGTAGCCGGCAAGACCGGGGAACGAGTGGACATCCGTGAGGTTCCGAGGCTCCGGCCACTCTTGGATGGCCTGAATCTTGTGCGATAGCGGACTGATGCCCTCCGGTGTGACAAAATGGCCCAAGTATTCCAGCTCTTGCCGGACAAATTCACACTTGTCGCGGTTGGCCTTGTACTTGGCACGGCGGAGCGTCTCCAACACTCGTAGAAGATGCCCAAGATGATCCTCGAATGACCGGCTATAGACGAGAATATCGTTTAAGTAGCCCGCACGAACCGGTCCAACATTGCACGGAATTCATTGGTCATTGCCGCCTGAAAGGTCGCCGGGGCGTTGGGGAGGCCAAAAGGCATGACCACCCACTCAAAATGCCCATACCGCGTCTTGAACGCGGTCTTGTAGCGATTGTTCGGATGGATCGAGATTTGATGATACCCCGATTTCAAATCCAGCTTAGAAAAATATTTTGCACCGCCCAATCGCTCCAGCAGATCGTCGATATGAGGAAGAGGTCCCGCATTCTTGACGGTTTGCGAGTTGAGCGTGCGGTAGTCGATACACAGTCGTAGATCCTTGTTCTTCTTCCTGACGAAGAGAACTGGTGCTCCATATGAGGAGCTGCTAGGGCGGATTCAGGCCTTGGCCAGCAAATCGTCGAGTTGTGCGCGAAGGACCTCAAGTTCCTCCTCGCGCATCCAATAGATGCAACCTTTCGGCGGCACGACACCGGCCTTAAGAATGATCTCGTGAGAGATCGGCCGATCCGGCACCACACCGGTAGGTGACTCGAAGATGTCGCCCAAACTCGTCCAGCAACCACACCACACGGGGGTTCGAAGACAAGTCTGTGGGTGAAGAGTCGGCTACCGCGATGGTCCGTAGGAAACATAGGCCGATCTCCTCGGGCTGCTCGTAAGCGCAGGTCGCACGAAATGATTTGGCCGTCACCACTTGGCACCGGATCGAAGGGTGCGGTAGAGAAATAGTACACGCCACTTCCGGGCCGACGGCGTCGCGAACGCTAAAGTCCGCCGATGGAAGTTGACCGTGTGATCCGCACTTGCAAGTCAAGGCATCCCCAGAATGATGTCGAAGTCCGTGTCGAGAATATCGAATGTCACCGGTTCGCATGCATGAGGTGCGAAGTAGACCGGTACGGCCTCGATGTAACGGTCGAGAAGTTGTTGCGTCTTTCCATCTGCCAACTTGATCGCCGTCAGGTTTGCCTTCCTCCGAACTTGTGCGCCAACGCCAGCCTTTTGCATAAAGGACTGGCTCATGAAATTGCCAGATGCGCCGCTATCCAACAAAGCGTTGCATGACGCTTGCCCAACCTGAATGCGGACATACATGAGCGGTGCGTTGTTGTCATCGTACCGCTGCGTGCGAAACTCGCGGGCCACCTTGGCAATATAGGCAAGCATGTCCCCAACCGCGACTTCGTCATCCGTCGGCAAAGTTGGTGGTGCATAGAAGGATAAGTAAGTGTGGAGATGAGCGCTAAGTGCTGCGCATTGCGGTCCCGGCAAGCGGCCTGTGGTCGGGAGAGGAAGCCATGCAAAGTCCTCGGACGTGAGGGGGTCCAATGCCTCTATGTTGAACTCGCGCGCCGAATCCCGTGAAGAACCACTTGAAGACGATATGTCGCCTTGCCAGACGGAGAAGAAACTGCACACACTTATTGTCCTTGAGCTTGAGTACCCAGCGTAGGAACGAGCCGGGCAGCATAGTCCTCAAAAGAAAGTAGAAGAGGAGGACTATCAACTTCCGTGTGCGCCTCGGAATGAAGGTCGGTTACTTGTGAAGAAACCGGTTCCGGAGGCGTCGAGAGTGTTGTCGAATCACTCTCGGCGGTGCTCAGTTTCCCTGTCTGCCCTTGCCTTTTAATGGGCAAACCTGCGTCTGATGAAGGTTGTTGTTGCACCAAAGGCAATAGTGTTATCTCTCACGCGCTTTGAATGCTTGCTCGGAGATGCCATACTGGGACCATGGGCCTGTCTGAGTTGCTGCACCGGGCCTGGGGCTAGATGCGGTGTGTGTCTTCGCCTTGCCGCGTCCTCGGCCTCTGCCGGGCCGGCCACCTTCCCGGGCGGCTGCGAGTCTGTCCCCTTCACTAGCAGACACAACCTCGCTGGTTTGGTCAAACGGCGTTGTCGCTGCGACCACGGCCACTCTTGGTCGATGTTGGTCCCTGCTCAGGCCTGACACAGATAAACGGAGGTTCTTGGTCTCCGTGTTCGTAATGCTGATCTGCGCGGCCTTGTCAAACAGTTCCGTCGTCGTCGTCAAGGTGTCCCCGACATGAGTCAAGGCATTGCTTAATGTCGGACATGACCTTGAGATGAAGTAATGGCRGATGGCTTTGAAGCCCATCTGGATGCCTGGGACTGACGTCAAGCGTTCGTACTCGGCGATCTTGTCAGTACTCGGCAGCGTGCCTTGCTCGAAGACCATGAGCTTGTCCATGGCTTTGATCTCCCACAGCTCCACCTGGAACCGCTTGTACCACGCCGCCTTCAGATCATCCCAAATGATCTTGGTGTGCAAGTCATTAGCTACCATTCCGTACTTGGACAAGAGGTTGTCCAACCAAGCCTGACACGCACCCCCTGAGCGAGAGTACAAGTATGCGTGGTGCTTGTGTTCCTTGACGTTGTGTAGCTGCAGCGTGAGCTCAAACTTCCGGAACCATGGAATCGGATCTGTCTTCATGGAGTCGCTGAAGATTTCCTGCCCATCGAACTTTGGAGTTGTCTCGCGCGGTTCCGAACTCGAGGTGTTGGCGGTAGTGCAGATCCGTTGTTGCAACTGTCGTGTCGTCGTTTGCTGCAATTGCACGCCATCCTTGAGTGAGCCGACGTCCATCTCCAATGCGTTGAGGCGGTCGGAAGTGTTGGAAGAGCTTGCATCGGCGGCGGCGACTGGTCGCTGGTCCAACCGCTGAAAGCGGTCTTGGACGTGAGCTAGCGAGTTGTCGAGACCGTGGATCTCCTCCTACTGTGCAATGCAGGTTGCCAGGAGGTCTGTGAGATGCGAGAGGAGGAACGCTATCCTGTTTGCGCTATCCTCCAACTTGCTATTCTCGGCCTCGGTCTGCCATTCTGCTGCCGTTGTGAGTAAAGCCTACTCTCCGGCAAAGATATTCTCACGACGTTGGTGTCTTTCTTCATCGGCAGTCGTTGCTGCTGCCTCGTCATGCAAGCGCTGTTGTTTAATCGCCAACAGACATGCCTGCTCGGCATCCTCTCCCTTCTTCTTCGCTGCTGCTGCAGCGTCATCAGCCCGTTTCTTTGTTTCGATACTCCAGGCCAACATGCGGGCCTGATAGGCCTCGTAGGCTTCTCCGGGCCTCTGGTCCATGACCGCTGTATGCAAGGAACATGAATATGGACGAAGCACTGAAATCCAGATTGCAAAATCACATTGAAGTCCAAGTAGTCAAAACAAGAGCAGATAGCATAATGGAACCGAGTAACCATCCATTTGAGAACGATACAGAAGAATCGTGAGTCAATGTCCAAGCCCAACAGGGCAACACCAACAACATAACCCAATGTAGCTCTCTCTCTTGAATGGCGTCAGGCGCCCTACCTACTCTACATCCTATCACTACATATACAGTATGACAGCAACCAGACAACTTGACGACCAGCGAGTGATGATGTCAACACCAATGCCAACCTCCACCTCCACCAGGTACGTCTCCTTCTTCACCCACACTCTCCCTTGTTATCCCACACAGCGCCCTTCACCTCTGAAGAACCACCTTCGCCCTCACCTCCCCTGCGCCCTCAGGCAACCCGACTATGGCCGCTAGCGCCCTGTGCACAGGCAGCACCCTACCGCCTAGCGCCTGCCTATCTTGCACCTCAGCCTAGCGCAGCGCAGTAGCTCGCATTAGCGCAGCGTGCCGGCATTGCCCTCAATGGCCAAGATCCCTGCCCACTCGCTCTGCTTGGCTGTATGCCAGTGTTGCGTGTGGGCGGCCTCTCTTCAGCCTGCGACTGGGCCCCTGTGCCTGAACCCAGGCCCAATGTGGTTGGAGCCCGGGCGATGCAGTTGCGCCTCTTTCATCAAGGCCTGCGGCCAGATTCAGATAGTGGGCCGATTTCCCATTGGCATTTTCGGTTTCTACATCCAGCATGCATTGTCGGCCTCACGTTTATGTGCCCAGGGCCTAACCAACTCAGAGGCCCTGGGATTTCCGCATTTGCAGAGATCTGAGACTCGGTGCACTCCAACCAACTGCCGTGCTGCAACTGTATGGACCCCACTTCGTGAAATGTTTGCACAGAGGGCTCTTGTTGATTTGTTGGCCCGCCTTCACTTAGGGCGGGCACTAGGCTTGCTGGGGCCTTAGCCCAGAACATGTACATCATGGCAAGGCCCCTTCTTGAGGGCTCAATCCTCACATTCCATCTCCCTTAGCTTCGAAAGTCCGCTGAGATGCTTACTTCGCAGGTGCCTTCCCTTTTAACTTTCTTTCATATTCTGCCACCACTTGAGGAGCTGTGTCAATCAGTTCCTCTCTGGTGAACCATCGATCTTCCTTTGGATCTGTATGATGCCTGAATCTGACGCGATACTCTCGCTTGGGTTTTGGAGGTCTTCCTCTTCCCAATGGCTTCTGAACAGGCAGATCTCTGTGATCCACAATGTCGTCGATGTCCACTTGACCATCCATGGTTGGGGGCAACATCGATCTCCTTGAAGGGAATTGATCCGTCTTAGCGAAAGGTGCAAGCTTTGAGGCATGAAAGACAGGGTGAGTGCGTAGGTGTCCAAGGATACGGATAACATAGGTAGGACCATCCATCTTATCCCCCACTACATCCAGGATTTCCCAAGGACCAAAATACTGAGGCATTAGTTTTCTAGAGATACCGAATTCTTGTCCTAGCTCACTAGCCTTGACCCAGACACGTTCCCCTACCTGAAATGAGGACTGTCGTCGATGCTTGTTCTCAGAAGCAATCATTGCTTCCTGAGCTTTCTTGATGTGCTCGACAGCTTGCTGCAGCAACTTCTCATACTGCACACCATATTCAAGTGTGACTGGAGTTGCGGAGGATCGGTTTTTAGGTAGGAGGAAGTCTAGAGCGGATCTAGGTTTCCATCCCAAGTGCAGCTGGTTAGGACTTACGTCGGTACTTCTTTGTACAACGTTGTTGTACAGGTTGGCGATGATAGGCAACTTCTAATCCCAATCGTCCTGGCTGGGCTTGATGTAATGCCTCAGCAAGTGTTGTACAACTCTGTTCATCCGCTCGGCTTGTCCGTTGGCTTCGGGATGATTCCCTGAAGTCATCTGAAGTTGACTGCCCATTTGCTCAGTAGTCTTCTTCCACAGCTCACTTGTGAAACGGACATCTCTGTCACTAACAAATGTCTTTGGTAAACCAAAGTCACGCAACCAGTTGTCCCGTAACAACTTGATGACATAGTCAGTCCTTGCGGTCTCTGGCATGACAACTAGTCTAGCGTACTTGGTGAATCGATCGATGATGACGAAAATGTGCCTCTTGCCACTCTTACTGGTCACCAGGGTGTCCATGAAATCCATGGAAACACTCTATCCTAGATCAGCGGGGATAGGTAAGGGTTTCAGCAACCCAAGCGGTGCTTGAGTTCGCGGCTTGTCCCACTGACAGACCTGACAGGTCTCTACAGACTTCTTGGCGTCATCTAACATTCCAGGCCACCAAAATCGTTGTACTAGATTAACACTCGTCTTCTTGTAACCGAAGTGTCCAGTTGCGTCGTGACATTCTCCTAGAAATAAACTGCGCAAACTCTCACTCGATGGAACTACTAACCTTTTACACCCAGCCTTATCAAGAAAGAGTAACCCATCCACCATCACAAACTCTCTTTCTGTGGCCTTGTCTTTTGCCTGAAGTTTGCGCATGATGTCCATCATGACAGGGTCTTCCTGATAGGCTCTCACCAACGATTGAGTTACTTCCTGAGATACACCAAACTCAGAAACTAGCGCCCCTAGGTAGTCTGGTCTACGAGATAGCGCATCTGCAACCATGTTGTACTCTCCCTTCAGATACTCAAGCTTGAAGTCATATTGGTCTATAACCTCAATCCAGCGCTTGAGTGCATCGGAAAGAGCCGGTTGAGTCTTGATCCATTTGAGTATCTGATGGTCAGTTCTCAAATAGAAGAACCGTTGTCGGGACTTGTGAGTCCCGAATGATTTCCCCCCACTCGAGAGACTGGATATGACCAATTTGTGCACGGCAGAGAAAACCGGAGGCAGGAATGTCATAAAGAGCGGAAACATGGGCACAAGCAGTAGGAAGCTAGAGGCTGTCTAGAAGTCGTCAGAACCGCCAAAATAGAAAGGAACTGTCGAAACAGGAAGCGGCGAGGGACTGTGAAAGGGTAGCAAGGGGCAGCTCTTCCCCCAAGAACAAAGGAGGACCACCGGGAAGTTGGCAGCAACATAGGAGGTGCGCAGCAAGGGAAGGAAGGAGAGCAGGAAGGGACAGGGCGCAAGGCGCTGACGCGACACGACGGCAGGAGAACTAAGGAGATTGCAGGTTAGGTGGGAACCGGCACCCGAAACGGAATAGCGTGCGGAACGCAATAGGAGCGGGGAGCGGAAATCGCTATAAGGCAGAAGGACGTCAGGGGCGCCAAGGAAAGACGTGGTGCGGGCGGGGCAGGAGTGCCGGGGACTACATGAGATCGAAGGACGGGGCGGTACCGGCAGGACGAAGTGCAGGGGACCACTCGGGACCAGGGGACGGCATGGTGCCGACGGGGCAGAGTACCAAGAACCACGTGAGACCGAGGGAAAAGACGCAGTGTAAGCGGGCCGAAGTGTCGCGGACCGCGTGGGCCTAGATAAAATGTTGGCACCAGCGAAACCACTAGCGGGACGGGTATCGACGATATAAAGTGTCGGGAGCCGCCGACGGGTCTGAAGGCCGGAGCAGTCGACAGAATAATCGGCAACGAGCCCAAGGAGGAGGACATGCGAGAGCGGGTCGTCAACCGGGATGACGCCGGAAAAATAGGGGGGGGGACCAGAAACAATAAGAAAAAAAGGAGGGGTCGGGTGCTGACGAAAGTTGCTAACGGAACAGAGAAGACGGGCGTGAGACGGGAAAGATGAAAGGCACCTGGGGCGACCCAAAGGAACCCTAGATCAAGTGCAACAGCAATAAAAATAAAATAACCTGACACCAGGGGGACGGGACCCGTCCGGGCCAGGGAGTCGGGATGAAACGTTAAGTGCCGCCGTGGCAAGCGCCGACGGGAGGTGTCGAGGGGGAAGAGAAGGAGCAGTGGCAGTGAGGGGGCCCGACCGGCAGTCCAGGTTGTTCCCGAGCCAGCCAGGCCAAGAAAAACGAGGTTCCGATGGCTCCTTGTGGAAAAAGGGCTGGCCGGAGGAAATTGGAGCAAGGGGGTCTCAAAACTGGAAGCGGCGGCAGCAAAAAGGAGCCCCTTTTGGCCTTGGGGGTGCCACTACTGCAGTCCAAGGTGAAACGGCCATATGCCGGCTGCAAAATCAAACCTTGGGTAGGGTCCAACATCTAGAAAGAGGAGAAATAGCTGTTGGACACTTGTCCTGACAAAAATAAAAGTGGAAGGAGAGGAAAAGGTGAGAAAAAGGGGGAGAATGAGACAAAGGAGGAGGAATGGGTGGAGGAAAATGTGCCGCCAGGTTGCGACTGCAGCAATAGGGACTGGCAGGTCTCAATGATGACCTCATCCCTCCTAGATCCTAGGAGGGCAGTCCGGATTGCAGAGATAAGGTCCTTGAGGCATTATCTCTGCAATATCTGAATTTAAGCAACAAAAATGAAGAAAAATGCTGATGTGAGTTGGCCGGCTCATTTTTGGGCCTTAGATCTGAGATCTGATCTCGTGGAGGAGGAGATCTAGCCGTTTTTGTGTGGGCTGACACAAAACGGCTAGCTCCGAAATGAGTTGGCAGCAAATTGGAGGGAAAACAAAGAGAGGAACAAGACAAAACTTCGAATTTGGCCCAAGGTTTGGGCCAGGTATATCGAAAAAATTGAAATTTGAAGCAAAAGGCTTTAATTTGAAGCAAGGGAGAGCTTGGAGTAACTCGGAATAATGAGAACTATTGATCTCAGCCAAATGCAAGGATGAGATCTGTGCCGTCACTTGGGAAAATGCAACGGCCTACTCAAAGGAGACCTAGACCAAGAAAAAGATGGAAAACAGGCCTCTAGGCCCTCAAATTTTGGCAAAGGCTGCATTTTGGGGTAGTGGTACCCAAAAGGCAGCACCTTTCATGTGAAAAGAGGCCAGGGTAGGCCAAGGGGTAGTCCGAGAGGGTACCAGCCTCTCGGACTGCATGTACCTGGCCAAAATGAGGCCGAGGTACCTCCAGATGGGCCAAAACCGGAAATTTGGCCTTTGGGGTACCTCGCTCTACCTAAAGGCACTTGGAGGGGCCTAGAGGTTGGGCGGTGCACTTGTTCCAGCCTACATAAGTTTGAGGTGTAGGCCGCAACTCTCATTTGAGCATGAGAGGTGTCCATGCTGCCCAAATGAGTCTAGGAAAGAGTCCGAGTAGAAGAAAAGCAAGGGAGTGAGGGCCGGAGTTAACGTGTAGCCTGGCTATGGTGGTAGGACTGAGAAAGGTGACCAAGAAGCTAGGAGGGAGCATAAAGAGTGGTCCGCCATAGCCCTCAGGCTGTGAAGTAGGAGGAGAGGCTGAAAACGGGTCCCCTTAGCCCTTCTAGAGGGAAGGACTCCACAGCCTTAGAAGTAGGGACCTACCATAGCTTAAGGAGAGGTGTGAGGGGAGGAGGAGAGGACTTGGGAGAGAGGAAAAGCCATACTCAGAAGACTAGAACCAAGCATTGTGACTCCACTGCCTAGAGACCAGCTAGAGGTGAGTAAAAGAGGAGGGAGAGTTCCTCCTCCTTCTTCTTCTTCTTCTTCTTCTTCTTCTTCTTCTTCTTCTTCTTCTTCTTCATCCTCTCCTTCTTCTCTCCTTCTTCTTTCTCCCTTCTTCTTCTTCTTCTTCTTCTTCTTCTTCTTCTTCTTCTTCTTCTTCTTCTTCTTCTCCTTCCTCTTCTTCCTCCTTCTCCCCCTCCTCCTCTTATCAAAACTGCAATTTTCACTGATTTGGGGGCTTGGGTAAGTTGCGATTCACCTTGTGAAAGTTCCGTGATGTTTCCCCTTGTGTTGATGCTTCAAACTTTGAGTTTTCACTGATTTGGGGGCTTGGGTAAGTTGCGATTCACCTTGTGAAAGTT